ATATATATATATATATATATATATATATATATATATATATATATATATATATATATATATATATATATATATATATATATATATATATATATATATATATATATATATATATATATATATATATATATATATATATATATATATATATATATATATATATATATATATATATATATATATATATATATATATATATATATATATATATATATATATATATATTTATATATATATAATGGGTAGAATTAATGTTCTTTTGAACGTATTTATCAACAAATCATTACTAATGAAATATAACAAACATTTTAAGCAGCATAACATAGATAATAATAAAAAATGCTTGGTTATCATCAAAAAAATCATATTGGAAAGATTTTTGAAGGATCGTTTGACTCTGAATACAAAATTAATAATGCTGAAAACTGATAGAAATGAATGACATCTTAATAAACTATTAATTACATTTTAACAAGTAAATATATCACAATAGTATAGTTACTGTATTTGTGTTCTTATAAATGTAGCCGCATTGAGCTGCCTTTAAAACTTAAAATTTACAATTAAATATAATTTTTGTCCTGCTACATTTTGAATTATTAATATTTTAATATCTCTTTATTTATTTAGTTACTTCATAACAAGGTCAGATATGTAATATTTTAAAGAAGTTATTCTAAACACTAATGATATCTAAAAACATCTCATACAACACAAGCGAGGCCATTTCCAACTGAAACTGCACTTATTCATTTAATAGTAAGCAGCAGGTCATTGACACCGATGACATCACTGCTGCTGTGCTGATGAGCTCATGATTTAATAAACCGCATGTGAAAGTGATGAGGTCATCAGGGAAGCCGCTGTGTGGTTGCCATGGCAACACCGTATCCCTCTGTGATTGGATTACAGACACTGAAAGACACACACACACTAAAGCAGAGCCACAACAGAGTGATTCTGGCGCACACACACTAAACAGGATGACATAATCCCATCAGAGCCAGAATATAGACTGATTCTGTGAGGTGTTTTAATGCGGTTGCAAAACTAATGATGTAAACGGCTGTAATGTACTCAGACAATTAGGATCTGATCGCAAATTCGATTAGAATTAATATAATTAATATAATAATTTCATTATTATCCTAATGGATTTCATGTTCATATTAACAATAATATATAATATATAACAATGACAATAGCAATAAATGTAACTGAACAATTCACAGCCAGACATCAGAGTAGTTACTGTCAACTAAAGCTGAAACTATTGAAAATCCAGAAATTACTATTACTGACTATATACAGGAATCAGAGAGTGAAATTCAATACCTTTTAATACCCTTTAGAAGATTCTTTTCATACATTTTAAGACCTTAAAACCACTTTAGGTTTCAACTGGAAACACTGGCGAGATTTTAACTTACAGTATAGTTACTAAATATTGAGGAAAGAAACTAATCCAAAACTAAAACATTATTCATATACTAAAAATCGAGCTAACTCAGCAGGTTGGTGCCTATAGATCTGCAGAAATAACGGTGTTGCATTGCTTACATGCAGTAAACGAAGCAGCATGATGTCAAATCTAGTAGAATTTCATTGATTTTATAAACACAGCATCCTGATATTCGCAGATTTAATTCAGGCAGGCTTTAGCATACAACCATACAGTGCATAATCAAAAATGATATAAAGTTTTATACCTTGCAAAATAGCATTATATTGCATTATCAGGGCCTTAAGAGTATTATATAGCATTATAAGGGCCTTCAATTTCTCTACATTGATTTATCAACTTTTAATACTTTAAGACCCCGTGGACATCTTGTATTATATTAAACTAGTTTTTATTTATATATTTATTATTAATAATTATTATAATAATATTCATATTTAATAATAATTATTATATACATTACATAATAACATATTATAACTAATTATACTAAAACTTTAATACATTTTTATTATTATTAATATTTTAAAATAAATCAGAAAAATGTATTAAAATTATATTTGAAAAAAAAGGCTAACAAATTTAAGGGGGAAAAAATCAAGGTTAAAATAGATTAAAAAAAACAAACAAACAAACTAAACAATAAAATTCCGAAATTAAAATGTAAATTAAAACAAACAATAAATTAATTAATAAATACAAAATAATTCACACGATAAAAAACTATGACAGGGTTAAAATTAACAGCATTAAATTATTAAAAAATTTTTTAAATTAAATAAATTTCATATTGAATGGCCTCCAAAAGCAGTTTACAATTTGAATATTATTACCATATATATTTTATTATTATTATTATTTCTTAATATAATTTGGAGATTAAATTAAATTAATATTCTTAATAGTCAGTTAAGTATGAAATCAGTGTTTCTTAACTCATCTAAATGCTTAAACTCCGCATAAACGCCTGCTACATCTCAAAATGTTCCCCTCAGTTCCTGGCATCTCTGTAAAGACTAAATAACCTTAATAAAACCAAAGGCAGACGCAACATTAATGCACCAGCCGGCGTCTCGCGTCTCCGTCAGCACCAGACGCTGGTCTGTCTGACTCTCGTGACCGTAACACACTGAGCTTTTTGCACATCATGCATTTCATCAGGTCTAAAAGCTGACGCTGAGACTGCAGACAAAACACACAGAGCTTCACCCGTGGCCCAGATTCAGGTATAAACTGCACACAGGTCAGCAGGAGGAGCCGGATTAACACGGGCTGTACAGAACTGTGCTGTGTGTAATAACAGCTGATTTCAACAACACACACACTGATAATTATAATATAATTCCAATAAGATATTATAATATTATAATAAGTCGGCGTCAGTGGGGTAGTGGTTAATACGTCAACACATGCACTACGGTGCTCGCGGCTACCCGGGTTCGACTTCGCCTCGCGGTCCTGTGCCGATCCTTCCCCACTCTTTGCTCCCCATGCTTTCCTGTCAATTCTCTCTACTATCCAATCAAAAATAAAGGTGAAAACCCCTAAAAATAATAATAATAATAATAAAAATATATATATATATATATATATATATATATATATATATATATATATATATATATATATATATATATATATATATATATATATATATATATATATATATATATATATATATATATATATATAGATATAGATATATATATATAGATATATATATATATATATATATAGATACATATATATATATATATATATATATATATATACATATATATATAGA